GAAATTAGTGGTAGATGGTATTCTGTCGTGTATTCCGTAGTAGGATTCCATCACAAGCTCTATGGTAGTTTTTCCATCACAAATTCCGTTTTAGTTAATCCCTAGCAAAATCTGTGGTAGTTCTTCCATCACAATGAAGAATAATTATTAAAGTATTATGTGATTTATGTGAATTATGTGCAACATATGTGCTTATAACGATATAATAAAATAATAATAAAAATATGTGTCAAAAATAAAATAATACATAGACCCAATATCTATGACGAAAGTTGAAGTATTCATAACAAGGATTCTGCAGAAATAAGGAACGCTGAAATCCGACTTATAACGAAGAGGTTATGACCCGTCGAAGTTTTGCGACTAAGCTGGCACAACGCCGCGTATCGTAAAAAGTGAATTTTTGATAAGCTACTTTTTAGCCATAGCAATCTAAACGAAAGTTGTAGTATATGTTAAACTGAGAGCATACATATAGAGAACATCCAAATCTGACTTTGATTGAGGAAGTTTTGATTTTTATAAGGTTTAGCATAACAATATACAACCCGGAAATTGAATTTTATATTGAACGATTTTTAACTGACACAACCTAAATGAGAATCGAAGATCTTCACACCTTTCTATCCATATATAGAGCCGAAATTCACTCATTTCCTCACACCTTTCTATCCAGCTCTCTCCCACCCCCCCCCCCCCCCAAGCCTCAAGGCTTTTCTTTAGCACTTCCTAAGTGTTAGCAGCAATCCCCAGAGTGCTGGAAAGCCCCGAGAAGAAGAGCTTTCGGTTTAGAAGTTCTGCCCGCGCAGAGTCTGATTCCTCGCTAAACCCCCTTGTAAGTGAGTTATGCTTACCCTACTTTAAGTATTACTTATGTTTAAGTTCATTACCATTATTATGAACCTATAAACTGGATTTATCAGTGATTCAAAGTCGTTATACTGATTGATCTACTTACGGTGATGATGTCTAGGCTGTGATTTAGTGAGATATTTAAATTGGTATTTCCAAACAGTATACTTCGTATACCAAATGGACCCTACCTCCGATATGATCCTACCTGGTTGTTCCTTAATTGATAGATCATGAAGTAGACTTTGAGTTAATCATGAATCTAAACTAATAATTAGTCGCAATAAATATTAGACTAAAAGTTAGTGATATTAATACTAGGTTTAGTCAACGGAAAAGAGAATTGTTAGAACCGAAGCGCTGCCCGAATTTCGAGTTATCACTTTAACAAGTGAGTGCATACTTACTTTCATCTTACACATATATATGAAGTATTTAATATAATTTACATGCTATATGTGCCTATTATCTATGTTCTTGATATCTATGCTGGATGAACGTTTATACATGTTTTACTTTATTTAGATTGTATATGTATTTAAACCTATGAGTATGTTGGGTAAAGATGGGTAGATGATATAGATGATGAAAGATGAAATAAATAATGAGTGACCTCAATGTTTCAGCTGATCCAGTCATCTAGCAGAGTATAGATGACGACCACGGACTATTCTATACACTCCAGTGGAACGCTGGCAGACTCGCAACCTGTAGGTGTTTTTTTTGAACTACGTGTTCACCATGTGTACTTCCATCCTCCTCATGGTTGCCTTACTAACATATATTGCTGAGGAATCCCCTAAGCAGTATTGTCTTCCCGGTGATAATCCTTAGGCGAGGTCCCTTGAATTAGATGCTTTAAGGACAGAAAGTGAGGATAACGGGAACGAGTTATCGGGTTGAATGATTTGATGAAATTAAAGAACTTAATTATTGAGGGTTGAAAACCCTATGTGCTCACCAAGCTCCCAAGTCTGACCCACTCAGTTTCTTGTATTACAATTAGTGGCATAAGAGCACAGGTGTGATGATCGGATGAGGTATCCATGGATTATATGCCATTAGAATAATAAATGTTTGTAAGGCCTGTACTATTTCTGTTTATGCTTATGCACTGTATCAACGATGACATCTCAACGTTTTTAATATAATGCAAATACATTTCTTCGTAAATGCTTTAATAATATACTTATCATATTTTTGGGAACAAATTCCGTGATATTATTGTTAAAAAAAGATACTATGATTTTAAATAAAGCATAAACAAATCTGTCTTTTCTAGCCGTGGAATTGGGGGATGTCACACTATGACATTCCAATGAAGCCGAGATTTCCACTTTGACATTCTAATGAATTTTGTTGTTGATTTCCTCTACAAGTTCATGTTTTCCTTTCTCATTTCTCCTTTTCTTTCTCTTGTAACGTTGATTTCCACTTGTATTGATGATTAATTTCAAAAATATGTTCATATCAGTTTTTCCTCTACTGTAGCCACCGACTGTTGCTGTCACCAGCAACGACTACCACTACTACTGCACCAACTGTTGATTTATGGCCACCATAGGTTCTATTTAATGTGATTTTCGAGATTAATAGCAAAATATATGTGTATTTGATATATGTATGTTAATTTGGTGTATGAATGTGAAAATATGTGTATTCATTGTATGTATGTGTGTATAATATGTATGTGTATTTGGTGTATATGTGGTATATGTATGTAAAAGTATGTCTATTTGGTATAAGTATGATTCTATTATGTATGCATGTGAAAGTATTTGTTTTTGGTATAAGTAGGATGCTATTGTGTATTTGATATATGTATGTGAATGTATGTGCATTTGGTTTATATGTGGTATATGTATGTGAACGTATGTGTATTTCATATAAGTAGGATGTTATTATGCATGTATGTAAAAGTATGTGTTTTTGGTATATGTAGGATGCTATTGTCTATTTGATATATGTATGTGAATGTATATGTATTTCGTGTATATGTGGTATATGTATATGAAAGTATGTGTATTTGGTATAAGTAGGATGCTATTATGTATGTATATGAAAGTATGTGTATTTGGTATAAGTAGGATGTTATTGTTTATTTTGTATATGTATTGAGAATGCTATTATTGTAGGATGCTATTATTGAATAAACAAATAAAGTAGGATGCTATTATTGAGAATGCTATTTTTTGTAAAAAGAACAATGTGGATTGTAAAAAAAACAAAAAAAAAAAAAAAAAAAAACAAATAACGTAGGATGCTATTATTGGCAATGAAAACATAAAGTAAACCACTATAATAGAAAACAACAACATAACATAATTGCCTAAAATACAATCCTATAACTGGAAAAAAATATGTTATAAATAACAAAAATATAAAAAAAAAGTACCATGCTCAAATAGGAAAAAACCATATAATATTTAAGGTACAATGTTGTTATAGAAAACTTAAAACAAAATCAACTACCATAAATGACAAAAATATACAAAAGTAAGATGCTATAAATAACAAAATTAAAAAATCTTCGAATTTCTATTTGTTTGTGTGTCTTCTTTTTAATCATCATGAGCCTAGAAATATATGTCTAAAATTGATTTAGAAATTAATTTAAGGTTGTCCTTGTTTTAGGACAGTTTTTTAGTACTTTATCTTATATAGGATGTAAAAATGTATTACATGATTGTTTTTTAAGAAAGATTTGGTTGTCATATTCTCTTCGATCTTCGGGTATATATATATATATATAATATATATATATATATATATATATATATATATATACTTGGAAGCTAAAGGGAAATCATGTAATGCACATTCACATATGAGATAAGGTATTCAAAAAAGTGGGTTTAGAAGCTAAGCTACCATTGTGAATACTTTATCTGTTTCTGAATTGTTGTCTCCATTTCAGGGGATACTTTATGAATCATTTCCTTTATGAATACTCAATCTAATTTTTGTTTTCCGTAGAGTAAAATCTAAACCCATAATTATTTTGCAACATAATCATGTTTATTAATAAAAGCTAGACTACTAATCTACATCAAAACTATTCCGAGTTCCAACTACGACTCAACTCTTTTATCGAGACGTCCAAGTCACACGTTGATAGTAATAGTAAAATCAGATGTGCGTGTCAACAATGTGATAATAGTTACTTCAAGGTACCAGCAACAGTGAAACGTCATATATTTATAAATGGTTTCAATAAGTCATACACAACTTGGATCTATCATGGGGAACCTTTAATTCCTCCAGTCGTAGATGTCGTAGCACCAAGTAACGAAATAGTTAATGTTATCCACAATGTGATGTGGGACTCGAGAGAAAATGATACCAATATTGACGAAGGAAGCTCGAATACAGGGGGTAGGAGTGTGCATGATGATTTTGTACAGTTGTTATAAGAAGTGTAAACTAAATTGTATCATGTATCTTGGTCATCGTTGTTTCCTAGATGCTAATGATCCCTTAAGAAAGAGGTTGCACTTTAGCGGCCTAGAGGAGACACGACCCGCTCTGAGACACTTTAGTAATGATGACATATAGGAGCAACTAGCTTGTCTACAAACTCGTCAAGCAGGTAAACATCCTAAGTATGGAGGCGGGGATATAGGGTGGTAAGATTTCGAGTTGAACTGGTTGAAACAAAGCATTTTCTTTAAACTCGAGTCACTACTAGAAAAACAGCCTTTTACGACGCGCAATGCGTGTCGTAAAACGCTCAGATGACGCGCAAATGGGTGTCAAGGAAGGCCAGGTCATAACGAGAGACGACACGCTTTTGCGCGTCGTCTACAGACGATGCGCATTTACGACGCACATTTATGACACGCATTTACGATGCACATTTACGACGCGCAATGCGTATCAAGGAAGCCCCTATCAGAAAGGAATACAACATGCATTTTCGTGTCGTAACCTTACGACGCACGTTTAGGACACACATTACGTATCATTAAAGCCCCTATCAAAAATGAAGATGACACACATTTGCGTGTCATAAACTTCAGCAACCATTTACGATATACATTTACGACGCGTCTTTACGATACTCATTTATGCATAATACAAAAATATGGAAACAAATATATACCAAAACAATCATTTCATCCATAACATCATGTCAAAAAATTGTAATACATTGGTCTTAAGTGGATCCGATTGTACATTGTTATTAAGAGGTTTTCCCTAACGATATAACCTAATACTACATTGCTATTAAGGAACATTTCTTGTTTCTACTTCTTATTGTTATGCTTCTGTTTCCACATGATACCTGTTTTCATCATCAACACATTAGTATTCAGAAAGGCTTCAAGCATCATCAATATATGTTATAAAATATTAAAATTTAATACACATGTAGTAACATACCTTTTTCCAGGAATCCAAGCTTCAATAAAAGCCCATACCTGTATAAAATATTAAAATTTAATACACATGTAGATTATAAAAGTTAATATGAAATAGTGCTACTTTCCCCAAAAAAAATAAGCAACACTTTCTATTCTATTATATTATACTGCTTCAGTTAACTTAATATAAACAAAAAAGAATCAAATACAAAATATGAAAGTGAAAGTGAACAAGGGAACATACTTACTTTTAATAAAACACGAAAAGAATGTGGTTGTGTTTGTGTAATCTTATATCTATCTCTGTGTCTATAAAACTAGCTTCAACAGCTACTGCTCTCTCTATTGCTGATTTTGAACGTTTAGAACCCGACCATGAACCCTACAAAGTTAACAAAAGTAAATACATAATTCATAAAAATAAAGATATACATAATAAAAAATAATTCTAAAGATATGAAATACCTCACTCCTAGCAATAGCTCTCTCCATTGTTACATGTAAAGCCTTTGTTTCCTGATCAGAATATAATAACATTCAGAGTTTTAGACCCCAACAATAAGAGATGAAGAAAATAACAAAGCAAATTGTTACAAATATTACCTGAAGAGGCCATCCATCAACCAAAAACACATCCAAAGAATAGCCATTGTTTGTTGAAAACACATGTGCTTCATGTATGTTGAGTCCTATGTCATAAAGCAAAGCTGAAAGCTTTCAACAATGCAAAAAATACAAATGTCTAAAATACCCTCCCTTTAAATAGTCAAATTTTTTATAATTATATTGTGGAATATTTTGACAGGGAAGATATGATTGTTGCTGCCCCATGATGTCAGCATGGGATCTGCATAAAGCTTGGACGGAAGCCGAATTTAAGGTATAAAAATATTATCTTTATTTTTAAAAAAATTTATAGATAATTAGATAGATAGTTTTTGCAAAGAATCAATCAATTGGATAATTGAACAAATGTCATGGAACAAAAAGTGAAAAAGAAATTCAATGAATGATTGAGGAAGTAGATCTTACATACAACATAAAAACCACCAACCACCATGGAATTGATGCAACTTCAAGCAATTTTCTTGAAGCAACCCCTTGTAAGATATGAGGTGTGAAAATTCAGTTCTTTAGCAATAGTCACAGACAGATTTCCTTGTGATGTGGACCTTGGAGCAAAAGCTGCTCTAGTTTTGTTCACTGCCACCTGCCACCTCATCACCGGTTAATTTACTAGATTTCTCCTTTATTTCACCCAATTGCAGACATGGCCTCCTTATCTTCTTCCTTGGTGAAGCAACCCTGCATATATAGTTATCCAGTCAGAAAACATTTTAGTGTTTTCAAAAAAAGAAAAAAAAATAGTTACCCTTCAGGTTGTGGATGGATAGAAGATGATCTTGTCATTAAACTGGCTTTGGGTCTTTGTTGTGTTGTATTAGGAACTGGTTTTGATCCCACTGGCATCCTTTTTTTTATAAGACTTATATCTTTTGTAACCTCTTTCTCGTGAGCAGGAAGATTAAGCTTTCTCTCTAATATTGCTTCTTTAAGAATCCATCTTTCCTAAAAGAAACCAATATCACATCATAAATGATTAAAGAATAATCATTTATAAAGTGAAGTAGAACTGAAATTGCAAAAACAAATACTTACATCAGTTCTTAGCCTAAAAGGCTTGACATTAGTAGGTTGTGGTTAAACTATAAAACAGGGACCATACCAAATTGTTGTCAGGACTAGGCACCAACACATTAATTTCACTAGACTTGGCAGTTGTTATAGAAGCCTCTAAAGAACCCTTCCTCAAGTACAGCTGGCAACCTACTGAGTTGTCCACTGAAATGGGTAAAAAAAACTATCAGTGAAATAAGAGAATATCATATTCATACATGTTTATAACCAGGGAGCACCTATGAAACATCATTGTGTAGCTCCTCGCTTCTAATTTCCTGCAAGCGTATATCAAAATAATAAGCTAAATAGTAAATATGCATCAAGCCAAGGGCAAAAGGTGGAATTTTTAATACCCGACTTAGGAGCTTTGGTATGTCTATTGTTGAAAATGTGATCTCATGCATAGGCCTGCACTATCCCAGTTTAAAAGGCACATTTACTTAGAAGATTGTATACAAAAGCTAATAAGTAATAATCAGTTGGAAAACAGAAAAGTCAGTTAATTAAATCACTTTGGGAAAAAATCATCTTGAATAGAAGAATACAAGCCAGCAAGAAGATAAAGGTGAAATGACTTTTTGTGGAATGGGATCTCATAGGGAAGGACATATCAGTAAATTTACACCATTTTTAACTATAAATTATAAGTTAAAAATGTATTACCTAGAAAATACTGAAGTTGAATTTACATCATTGTCTGCATAACTGTCCTGATGTCTAGTGGCTTTAAGTGTAAGCCCTTCAAGGTTCTGTGCTGAACCAAAAGATAGGGGGTGCACTCTAAGGAATATATTGAAGAGGTAGAAAAGAAAATTAAATTAGAAAATAAAGATAATTGGCATTTATCTTTTTTGAAATCAAACAACATTCAAACTATCAGCATGTAACAAGAGTCACAGATATAAATATGATAATCAAGCATGGAAAGAATAAGCAGAAAATAACACATATAATTGGTTTATGTCAATACTCGTTTCTGTTGCTGTAAGGTGAAGGACTCTGAGCATCTTCTTTCATCGAGGGTTCCATATTGTCCAAATCAGGTGTGTTCCCATCTGAGGCAGGATGAACCTATATAAGATATTCCTTGCATAACAGAGAAGTGACATCCAAAGATAATCAAGAAAGCAACCTACAGATTTTCAAGAAAGGGTCGGATAATCTTTATGGGTTCCATCAACACATTCATAGCCACAGAGAATCAAAGGACATTAATTACTAGCAGATGTCATTCTCAGAAGTCAGAACTCTAGGCAACCGAAGGCCAAACATCAACTAAAACACCAGCAAAACACCACATGTTCAAGACTAAAAAACAAATTTGTCTTCCAAGAATCCAAGCCAAAGGGCAAAAAAAAACCCAACTGCAGGTGAAACTTCAACTATTCAAGGGAAATGGCATAATCGTCCTTGTCTTTGGCTGATCGGCTCTCCCTACATAAAATAAAAATCAAATATTTAGAATACATAATAAAAGGCAAAGAGATTGTAGATGAATGATGATAGGAGATGGAGATTCAATTTCTGATTTATCATTTACATAGAAAACAAAACACAAACTAAATGGTTTTTCTTTTTTGTTACCGTTGCTTTGCAATAAAATGGCCAATCGATGCCTATGTACTTCGATATTTGCACAAAGAATGTAGTTAAACACCCAATCGATGCTACGCAACAAAATCTCCCAAGAGATTTGTCTCGTCGTCTTCTCTATTAGGCCCCGATAATGTTGCCTTCCTCTTTCTCATTTTTGGTTTACCGCCTTCAAGCCAATCAGATACGAAATTGAGGGCTTTGAGCACAGCGGGCCTAATATATTCAAGGAATGAGTGTTAGGAAGTATCTGCTAAAGCCACTATACAAAGACCAAGCCATAAACTCATTCAAGAGGAGTTTACGGTCAAGACACTAAGAGTTTACGGCCGTAAACTCAAGGTGGCCGTAAACTCACCCCTATATAAGTGACACTTAGCAATTTCTTCATTCCTTTCCTTTCCTTGACCGAAATCTCCTCAAACTCTCTCAAGTATCATCAAGTTCTTCATCCAAATCCTCCAAAAACGTAAGTGTTCTTCCCTCTAGTCGTTGTTATCCTTCTTAAACATGTATCATTCTTTGATTCATCCATGAAAACATCCATTTTGTCTAGATCTTCATAATCTTCAACTTTCACCAAGAACACACACTAGTGTTTTTGGGCTGAAATCAACCCTTTCAAGCTTCAATATCGTGAGTACTCCTTCCTTAACTTGTTGTATGCTAGAAACACTTGACTTACCCTTTGAAATCATCCATTTCTGAAGAACAATAGGAGTTTACGGCCAAGAGCATCTCCCTTGGCCGTAAACCCTTATAAAGGTGCCATTTTGGCCATAAACCCTTCTAGAAGCGAAGCTTGTGACCTAGAACACTTCCTTGATGCAAATAGGACCTTATCACACACTTGGGTACAAGATACCTTGAGTTTACGGCCGTAAACTCATAGGGCCGTAAACCCTATGGCCGTAAACTCCATTAGACATACCACTTGGGCCGTAAACTCCTCTTAGTGGACGTACACTCCCCTTAGATGAATCACATGTGATTCTAACACTTGGTCCAAGTGTCTCCTAGTCCCTAAAGGTGTTTCCTTTCATATAGTTGCCTATAAACACTATATTCATGCCAATTGTAACGCCTGTGTTTCTAGGCTAGGCATTAATATTGACGTTATAGTCTAGGTTAACCTTTGTAACTCATTTTGAAGAAATGAAAAGGAATTATGTGAATATTATGTCTATTATGTGTTTTATGCTTAATTACTAGGATTTAATTAATTAAGAATAAAAAATGAGCGTCGAAAATAAATATTAGATAAAGCCGATATCTATTAAGAAACTTGTAGAGAGCGTGACAAGGATTACGGATATATAAAGAATACCAAAATCCGAGTTATAACAAAGAAGTTATGACCTGTCGAAGTTTCGCGATAAAACCGGCACGGTGCCGAATGTCGTAAAAAGTGAGTTTTTGATAAACTACTTTTTAGCCTTAGTGATCTTAACGAAAGTCGTAGTGTTCGTTAAACCGTGAGTATGTATAAAAAGAACGCCCAAATCTGACTTCGTATAAGGAAGTTATGATTTTTCGAAGTTTTGGCTTAGCAGTAGACAGCTAAAAAACTCGAATTTTAGATCGAGTGATTTTTAGCCGACACAACCTAAACGAGAATCGAAGGTCTCGTAAATAGTAACACAACGGTAAAAAGTCTGACGAAAACGGACGTCGGATGAAGAAGTTATGAATTTTTAACGGATTTCCTGTCCCGGTCTGTTAAAAATAATAATATAAAAATTAAATTCAAAATTAGCCGACGAAGTCTAAACGAAAGGTGTAGAGCGTAATTTTACCTAAGCGTGCATATAAAGAACGTCAAAACGGAGCCCGTATGCGAAAGTTATGGATTTTAGAAGTTTTTGCACAAAAACCGAGAAAAAGCACAAAATACGAGAAATTTCGCATGGCCCAACTTCGGCCACGTCACCTCGCATGCGGGATGACCCATGTACGCCTCGTGTCAGCCGCTGATTCATCTAAAGTCGATGTCCACTAGGATACCGACGCGTCTCGCATCGGTGGCATCTTCCGAGCTCGCAGGCGTGTGCAACCCTCGCATCTGACGCGTGTCTTGCCACCTGCCCTGTCCGAAGCGAGCCACGTCTCGCTTACAAGCTTCCGACGAGCCCTTCGCATCCGAGCCTCGCAGCTGCTGCGTGGAGCCTTCTCAGTCATTCAAACTTCGGTCTCGCACCCTATAAATAGGGGGGTTGCGAGATCTCCCGGGTAATTTTGGAAAATTGCCACTTTTCACCCTAAATTCAATATTTTTACTATCTCGACTTCCCCCGAAGCCCCGATATCATTTTCAACACCCGGAACACCCCCCGAAGTGCCTGAAGACCCGGAAAATTTATCTTTTTGGTTTCGAAGCCCGACCCTTCGCAGAGCCCGGTTTCTCAATAAAACTCCCGGTTTTATTAGAAACGATCGTTTTAGGCAACGAATTGCTGCCCGATTTTCATTAAATCAGGTTAGTGTATAGTCACTTTCATCTTACACATAGATATGAAGTATTTTATATAAATTACGTGCTACGTGTGCATATTATCTGTATACTTGCTATCTATGCTGGATGAACGATTTTATACACGTTTTAAATGATTTAAACTGTACATGTATTTTATATCTACAAAATGTGTTGGGTAAAACATGGGTAGATGTAATAGTTGCTGTGTGACAAAATAAAATAATAAGAGGCCTCGTTATAGATGTTATTGATGATCCAGTCATCTAGCGGAGTATAGATGACGACCACGGACTATTCTAGACAGTCCAGTGGAACGCTAGCAGGCTCGCAACCTGTTGGTGTTTATTTGAACTGTGTGTTCACCAACAGTACTCCATCCCCCACATGGTTGCCTTATTTGACATGAATTGCTGAGGAATCCCCGAAGCATGTGTTGTCGCCCCGAAGAAAGTCCTTAGACTAGGTCCCTTGAGTTACATGTTTTTGGGACGTAAAGTGAGGATAACGGGAATGGGTAATCGGGTTTGTTTGGTTTGATAAAGTTAATAAACTTATTTATTGTGGGTTGAAAACCATATGTGCTCATCAGGCTCCCAAACCTGACCCACTCAGTTTCTTGTATTACAGGTAGTGGCGCATGAACATAGATGTTTGGATGAGAGATAAGGGATTATAGGCCTGTAAATACGAAATAATGTAGTAAGGCTTATGTTGTATTGTTTATGCTTTTGATCTGTATCGAACATGACATCCCGAGTCTTTTAATGAAATACATTTCTTTGGAAATGCTTTTGATAAATCTTTATCATATTTTGTTTTGGGATAAATTCCGCAACACTTTTATTTAAAATGTTACTCTGATTTTTAAACAAGCATAAGCAAAAATCAGTCTTTTCTGGCCGTGAAAATGGGGATGTCACAGTTGGTATCAGAGCATTAGTTTAAGCGAACAAGGAATTTGTAGGATTTCTAGACTTAAACTTAGAATGCTAAGCGATGATTGTGAGGTGTGAGCACTAGCTTATTTTAGGAATATTGCCTAAAATGCTTTTATGTGCTAAATGCTTTGTGCCTAACATGTTGTTCGGATCTATGGTCTGTTGCCGACCGGATCTGGAAACCTTATGTGTTTAGGATTCTAAACGTACGACTACGATATTAGAACTAACATGTAAACGTTTCGGAGTGATAAGGACGGTTTAAACGACTATCCTAAATAAAGATCTAAATTCACCTTATTCGGTGTATAGATCAAGATGGTAAGGGCCCGTAGCGGAAACGTGAATGCAAATGGGAACCGAGAACAACCCCCAGTGATACAGCAAATACCAGTCGTAGTAGAAGTTGCACCTGAGCCAATCACCATGGCTGGAGTACAAGCCATGATGCGGGCTATGTTAGTTGAACAAAAGGAAGAAATGAGGCAAATGATGCAAGAGAATAGGGACGAAGCCATCGTGCCCATTGTGCAACAGGAGCCGATCCCCGAACAATCGGAGGAAGGAAACTACAGTAGGTCAGTGGGCCAAGATGATCCGCCAGTAAATAGAAGAAACGGACAAGATGATGGAGTCGAGATAAACGGATGCAAGTACAAAGATTTTCTGACTTGCAAGCCATCGACTTTCACTGGAAAGGAAGATCCGATCGGAGTCATGGATTGGATCTCAGAAATGGAGTTAGCTTTTATGACATGCGGTTGTAGAGGCAAGCTGCAAACCACTTTTGCAGTACGCCGGTTCCGAGGAGGAGCAGTACGCTGGTGGAACACCCTGGGGAAGACCTTGAGCCCCAATGAGCCCCTGACATGGGCGGAGTTTTACATGGGCGGAGTTTTTAGTACAATTCAAGCGCAAGTACTGCTCAGCCCAAAACTTGCTCGAGCTAGAGAACCAGTTTCTGACCCTGAAGAAGGTAAGCATGTCAATCGATGAATACACAAACAACTTCACAGAGAAGATGGAGTTTGCCTTGCGTCTTGTCCCAGATGAGCTGACAAAGATCGACAAGTACGCTAAGGGACTCCCATGGGAGTACGTGGTGCCAGTGCGTCAGGCACATACTCTGGAGGTAGCTATCTGGGCTGCCAAATCTGTGGAGGATATGATTAAAGGAAGGGCTGCCAGCAAGGCTGAGGTTGGTGAGAAGAGGAAATTTGAAGGGTCTGCTAAATCCAACAATAAGAAAAGCAAGTTCGGTTCAAAGAAGTTTGGGGGAGGAAATGAATCAAAATGGTGCGAGAAGTGCAAGAAGAAGCACTCGGGAAAATGCAGTGAGGAAGTAACCTGCTACAAGTGTGGGAAAATGGTGCATTATGCCAATGAGTGCACCATCATCAAGAGGGTGTGCTACGAGTGTCGTGAATAAGGGCATATTGCTAAGGATTGCCCGAAGAAGAAAGACGCGGCAAGGCCCAACATTCCACCAAAGCCGAAGGCGAGAGCCTTCCAGATGACACTCGAGGCTGCAAAGGAGACATCGGACGTCGCTTCAGGTACCTTTCTTGTAAATGGATTGCCTGCCAATATACTATTTGATTCCGGAGCCAACTACTCCTTTGTGTCGCATAAATTTGGTGAGAAATTAGCATTGCCTGTAGAAAAACTTGATAATGCCCTAATTGTGGAAGTTGACAGTGGCAAGTTCGGACCTGTTAGTAACCGTATTAGGAACATCGTCATCGACCTAAACGGAAACAAATTCCACGAAGAGCTATTACCCATAGAGTTGAACGGTTTCAATATCGTTTT